AGTGGCTGGTGGGTTTGAACCACCAGCCTTCTGGTTAGCAGTCAAGTGCCTTAGCCACTATGCTATGAATAGTATAAATAAATATTTACTAAATATTATATGCCATACAGGTAATGAACTTATCTGTTGTCTATGTGTGAGAATCTTTGTGTGAAAATCTAATAACTATATGGCAAGAACGGTGTTAATTGCCTGTTTTATGTTATCAGTAAGGCATCCTGTCATCAGTAGACTATTAGTAGTTAAGTTTTGGGGGTGTTAAACATTATATGCAGATTTTCAGCTGCATAGAAGTTTTTCTACTTGTTAGGTGCCATCTAGTTGAAACACTACCTGGTCCTGCACCAGCCCCACGATCCTTGCTATGCCTGAGGCTATCATTGCAGCAACTGTGTGGATCCATCCTGTTGAGGGCCTTCCCCTTTTTCTTTGACTCTCCACTTTACCAAGCATGATACTCTTCTCCAGAGAATGGCCCTTCTGACAACATGCCCTAAGTAGGTGAGATGACATATGGCCATTCTTGCTTCTAAGGAGCACTTTGGCTGTACTTTTTCCAAGACAGATTTGTTCTTTTAGCAGTCTGTGGCACTTTCAGTATTCTTTGCCACCATCACAACTCAAAAGCATCAACTCTTCTTTGGCCTTCCTTGTTTATAGTCCAGCTTTCATATACATATGAGACAATTGAAAATACTGTGGCTTGTGGCAGGCGCACCTTAGTCTTCAAGGAGACATCTTTGTATGGGGGTTGGCACCCCTAATCCTTGCATTGTTCAAGGGTTAATTGTAATTATGTATTTATTCATGTTTCTTTGTACTTTTTGCCTCTTAAGGAGGCTTTTTTCTTCAGTTTGCCACATAATTTTTTTTTAATTGTGATTTGAGTGAAAGTTTACAGAGCAAATTGGTTTTCTTTTCAACAGTTCATACACACTTTTTTTCATGACATTTGTTGCAGTCCCCACAATATAAGAGCAAACAGCACTTTTCTCGCTTCTTCCCTGTGTTTCCCATTTCCATTCATCCTTGTTTCCTATCCCTTCCTGCCTTCTAAGCTTTATCCCTGGGCGAATACTGCCCTGTTGATCTCCTATGATTGATTGTTCTAAGGAGTATGTGCCTCCCTGGTGTTAATTGTTCAACTTATAGGCCTATGTATTTAGCTGAAAGATTAGTCATGGGGATGAGTTCAGTTCTAGGCATGAAAGGTGACTAAGGGCCACAGTCTTGGGAGTTCCACCAGTCTCTATCAGACCAGTAAGCCTGGTCTTTTTTATGATTTTGAGTTTTGTTCCACATTTTTCTCTCACTCTATCCACAACTTTTTTTCTATTGTGATCCTTTACAGAGTTATCACTAGTGGTAGCCAAGCACCTTCTAGTTCTTTTGGTCTCAGGGTTGTGTGGGCTGAAGTTCACATGGTCCATTAGTCTTTTGGACTAATTACTTCCATGTGCCTTTGATTTTCTTCACTCTTCTTTGCTTCAGACAGGAGAGACCAACAGTTGCACCTTAAATAGCTGCTTGCTAGCTTTTAAGTCACTACTTGCCATAGTAAGATGTAGAACATTGTCTTTGTGAATTATGTTACGCCAATTTAGCTGTCCCCTGACTGTGGTCATAAGCCCCCGAGCCTGGTTACTCATTACCTCACAGTATTTGATTATAGCGAAAATGTTTTCATAACTTTGTGCTGTTTGCTTTACTATATACATGGATATATTTATAACACATACAAATACATATGTAGAAGTATCCTCTGCCCTCTGCCACGCTAGTTGTGACTGTAGTTCCATTTGCCTGTCCATAACTGTTCAGCTGTTTAGTCTGCCTATATATCTACTTATTGTTTGTTATTACTGTCATTGCAGGGAGTAGGGAAGCAGCACCTTCTGACCTCCTCTTACTACACAAGAGGAGGACAGAGTCACCCTCAGCAGCCCAATGGCTGCTCTTATGAAGCCAGATATGCTGCCACTCTCCAGCTCTCCTGCTGGTTGACACAAACCATTCCTCCCGCAGCACCCGCCACCTCTTTGTTGGGTTTGATAATTCACTGCAGTGGCCACACAGAACTCACAGATTATGGAGTTTATTAGGGAAGCATGGGCTACAATTCAAGTTCAGGAACATGCTCAGTCTCAGCCAGCCATCTCTTAGCCGACAGTCTCTCTCAGTAGCATGTCCCTTTCTCAGCAGTGCTTGTCTCTCATGTCTCTCTCTCTCACCAGCATGTCTCTCTCATGTCTCTCAGCAGCATGTCTTTCTTAGCCAGCAGTCAGAGAGAATCCTTCTGCCTCTAGGAGGGCTCCTTTTGAGCCTGGCAGAGTAGCCAAAACCAACCAATCCCAACATCAGAGTTCTACACACCTGAGAGAGAATGAACTTCCCAGAAGATTGCTTCATACTGCTCCAACAGAAATAACCCAGGTGATAACTTTAACAATCAGGGGCTACTCAATGGTTCACAGCAAATTCTGCCACAGAGTTTACAAAGACTCTGGCTAGAAAAGCCATACCATGTAATTTTCTACACCACAGTACCATAGTTTGTTCATCCATTCATCCATTGATGGGCACTTACGTTGTTTCCATCTCATTGCTATTGTGAATAATGCTGCAGTAAACATGGGTGTGCATATATCTATTCATGTCTCAGCTGTTATTTCTGTAGGATATAGACCACCTGGTAGAGATTGCTTGATTATTTGCTATTTCTGTTTCCAACATTTTAAGGAAATAACCATACTGTTTTCCACAGTGGTTGTACCATCTTATAGTCCCACCAGCAGTGTATGAGAGTTCCATTCACTCCACATCTGTTCCTTTCTATCTTATTGAACTTTGCTGTTATTGCTGGGGTGAGATGATACCTCATTGTTGTTTTTATTTGCATCTCTCTAATAGCTAATTAGGAGCTCTGGTGGCATAGTGGTTAAAGCATTTGGCTACTAACCAAAATATTGGCTTTTTGAGCCTGCTAGAAGTTCTGCAGGAGAAAGATGAGGCAGTCTGCTTGTATAAAGATCTACAGCCTTGGAAACCCATGGAGCAGTTCCACTCTGTCCAGAAAAAGGTTACAGTGAGTTGGAATTGACTCATTGGTAGTGGATTTTATTATTATTATTATTAATGACTAATTATTGCAAGTATTTCTTCATGTGTTTGTTCGTTACCTGAATGTATTTGGTGAAGTATCTATTACTGTCCTCTGTCCATTTTTTTAATTGGTTTGTCTTTTTGTTATTGAGGTACTGAAGTTTTGTGTAAATTTTAGAGATTAGTCCCTTGTCAGATGTGTCATTATGAGGTGTATTTTCCCAATCTGTAGGTTTTCTTTTTACTCATTTGGTAAAGTCTTTTGATGTGCGTAAGTGTTTGTATTTTAGGAGGTCCCAGTTTTCTAGTTTATCTTCTACTGCTTGTCATTTTTGGTTATGCTTGATAGTCTATTTATGCTGTAAATTAGGGCCCCTAAGTTTGCCCCAATTATTTCTCTATAATTTTAGGTTTTACATTTAGATCTTTGATCATTTTGATTTAGTTTTTCTGTATGGTGTGAGTATGAACCTTGTTTCATTTTTCTGCAAGTGGATATCCAGTTATGCCAGCTCCATTTATTAAAGAGACTGTCTCTTCTTCATTTAATGGATTTGTCCCTTTGTCAAAAATCAGCTGGATTTACTTCTGGGTTCTCAACTCTGTTCCATTAAGTTTCTGTGTCTGTCTTTCAGGGTTTTTCAACTACTAGGGCTGGATAGTATATTATTGTGATTGAGAGGTGTGAGGCTTCCTACTTTATTCTTTTTTAGTAGTGCTTTGCTTATCTAAGGTCTCTTTTCTTTCCATATAAAGTTGGTGATTGGTTTTTCCATCTCTTTAAAGAATGTTTATGGTACCTGAATCAGGACTGCATTATTTCTGTAGATCGCTTTGGATAGTATTGACATTTTCACCATGTTAAGTCTTCCTGTCCATGAGTACAGTTTGTTCTTGCATTTATTGTCATATAAATTTGAAATGCTATTTTTCCCTTACATAAAAAAATATGTAATTATATATATTTGTGTTCCTTTGAATATTTTGATGCGTTCATATCACATACATATACATAGATACACACATATGTAATATATAGTTTAGTGCAAATGTGAGGTTTTGTTATTTCTCCGTGCATCATTCAATACTTTCTCTGTGGAGCCTTCCCTAACTACTTGTGGTAGACTTCATTTCTCATTTATTTATGTCCTTGTAGCATGTTGTACTTCTTTTACAGTACTTACTACTATATTTCATCATAATTATTTCTTGTTTTCCCAGTCTAGAATAAATTCTTCAAGGGCACAGAGGACTGTCTTACTTGTCTCTGTATTGCCACAGTCTAACTTAAAGCCTGGCTTATAGTAAGTGTTCTGTAAATGCTTGTTGAGTTGACCTCAATAAGGATCATGAAAATGAATTTTCAGGTTTTACAATAAGTGTTCTTTTTCAGACCTTAGCTTTAAAGAAAAAATAAATATAATCATGCTGAAGATGTTTTACATTTTCTGTAGGTTACATTGTACAGCATGTATGTTTCTATAATGGCGTTCAATGCCAAGGTCAGTGATCCACTTATTGGAGGAACATACATGACCCTTTTAAATACTGTATCCAATCTGGGAGGAAACTGGCCTTCAACAGTAGCTCTTTGGCTTGTGGATCCTCTCACGGTAAAAGAGTGTGTTGGAGCATCAAACCAGAATTGTCGAACACCTGATGCTATTGAAGTAAGTATGTTTTAATTTAAGTAACGTTAAGCTAATATTAAAATACTAATAGATTCATTTTGCTTCTAGCAGTACTATATCTTTTAGTATTTTAAAAAATCATGTTCCCATAGTTTCTAATGTAGACATCTACACTTTTACAAGGAGTATGCTTCCTATCAGAACTGAGAGTTACAACACTCAAAACACTTGAAGGTGCTTTTCAGCAAGATGGAGCAATCTCTTTCTTTACCACTTGAGAATCACTGCTGTACATAGTAGGTACTGAGTAAATCCATGATTAGTACCCACATTTTATAATGATAGACAAGGGTTTTTAATGTAATGATTACAGCCAAAACTGAATGGTGAGTGCATTGCTGATAAATTACTTCACAATAACAGTAGTCTACCTTTAAGAGTCAGTTCATTGGGAATTTCTTCACATTTCCAAATATGGAAGCTGGTGCTTCAGACCCACTAGCCACTCCTCAGAAGGCAGATTGGACAATCTACTTCCGTAGTGATACTGCCTTGGAAACCCAACGAGGGGTCACTGTGAGTCGGATCCAACTTGATGGCAGTGAGTTTGGTTTTGGTTTGATCTTAAAAAATGAGTATTGTTTATAGCGAGAACTGAAAATTGTTTTCAGCCTCATCACAGTAGCATTAGACACATTAGATTAACGTGTTTTGCTATTTGAAGTGAGAATGACCTAAATTTTACTTTTAAATGTTATAACAAAAATATGTCATGATGAATCCTTTAAATTACAAAAGGGAGACATCTCAATTGCTGAATATTACCATTTTGAAATTGTGAATGTTTCATATTTCATTTCTACAGCTTTGCAAAAAACTTGGTGGCTCATGTGTTACAGCACTGGATGGATATTATGTGGAGTCCATTATTTGTGTTTTCATTGGATTTGGTTGGTGGTTCTTTCTTGGTCCAAAATTGAAAAAGTTACAGGATGAAGGACCATCTTCATGGAAGTGCAAAAGGAGCAATTAATGCACACACTACTGGACATTCTAGAAAGGTAATTATAGGTTAGTTTTAATACAGAGAGCTCTGATAATCAGTGCACAGGAGTATAAAATATTATTTAAACAAAATTATTAATATAAAAATGCCAAATGATTAAAAAATACAGACTTCTCTGTATATTTGATTATATTTTTCCTTGTCATTGTATTTCAAGTTTATTTAAGGTCAGGAAATTGGTTCTAAAACACCTTTTCTGGCCTTGTTATTTGATTCATATCTTTTTAATTTACTGACCAAAGCATGCTTTAAGCTGCAGTACAGTAGTCATGGAATTAATAACCATGCAGTCAAGTATTGTTATCAGTACCTATCATTTAGCTGTATTTTAATATTTTGATAGAATATATTAAGTGGAGAAGACCTTGATATTCAGGCAGTAACTAGTCTGACCTTGTTGATGGCTAAAATCTTATTTTAATTACAAATGGCGTAAATTTTACGTGGAATTTGCTGAGAAGAGAATGTAGATTACTGAAATGCCATTTTAGTTGTTATTTTTCTGACCATCACCACATTGTAAGGAATGAATCTGTTTTAAAAAGACTGTTTTAAATGTATTTCTTGCTTTTGTAGGCATTAAAGATTTATAAGATTATTCAAACTATTTTTTATAAAATGAAAGCTATCATTTTTAACATTGATTTCCTCTACCCTCACCTTTTTGGACGGTATCTTGGTTCCTTGTTAACTTTTACCCTGAAGCTTACAAGATTTGTTGTCACAAGTGCTTCATGGCACATGAACAAAGTGAGGGAACAATTGAGTGTTGTATGTATGTTCATGGCAAAATTTTGAAAATAAAAGTTAAATGTTATTCTTTCAGTAGTTTTTTTTTTTTTTTTTTCTCATTACCAAGAGAAAAGAATGGTAAAGCTTTCCTGTTGATTAAAATTTAAGTGAGTAAAAGCATAATTTAAAAATAATTTGTTTTAAAGAGAGGAACAAAGACATTTTGTGCCTTTGCCAAATTAAATCATGTGGCAGTAGAATGTTTCTTAACTAAGCACTTTATTAGTGAGAAAAGATCTCACAAGTACTTAATGCCAAATTGGATACTATATTTCCATGTATTAAAATACAGCCTTCTATTTATAAACTATAATTTCCAGTGGAAAATTGCTATGCCAATAAAATTATTATTTTGAGTACCTTAGCAATTTCTAGTACAGACACCCAGTGATAAGGTTCTTTACATATTTTGTGTTGTTTATTACTCTAACTCTAGTGACTATATAATGTAACTATATAATGTAATATAACTTCAAAATGTAGAGAAAATAAAAGGTTAAGTTATAAGTCTTACTTAATAACTTTATATAAAACCTAACTGCTGATTTTGTTAATTTCATGACATAGATTGAATTTTAGAGTGGGGATTTTATAAGTAATGGAGGATCAATGGGTGGGAGAAAATGGCACTCAGCATCTCAAGAAAGACAGGAGCAGTGACCTCTAGACCTTATACATTGCCTGTGGAAAGCCTATGCTAGGAGTTGATATCAGATTCTGAAGAATCACCTGGAAAAATTCTCATCCTAGAGGCAGAGAGGCCACACCAAGCCACAGACTACAATACTTGGTCACACCAGGTTTTCATTATCGTGTATTATAATCAGAATGCTTATTTGAATAAAGAAAACAATAAACACAAAATTCTCACATGTGAAATGTATTTTAATTTTAAACTTTTGCATTAAGAACTAAATTGCCATACTTATATCTTATTTCCTCCCATTTGTATTACTAGAAATTATACTTAGGTTCAAACATAGTTATATACAAGTCTTTAATGATTTGAAGTTTTAAAACATTTTTTAAAGTGTTTGACAGTAAGGTGTGAGCCATTAACTGCATTTGCTCTAAAAATGAATAGGGAATTATTTTGAATTGCAGTAATTTGGTTATTTAGGTACATGTCTGTAATGTATGCCAAAAATTAGTAGTTAATATTTATATGCAACTATCTATGTTGTGGGAGCTCCAGTAGCATAGTGCCTAAGGCACTTGACTGCTAACCAGAAGCCTGGAGGTTCAAACCCACCAGCCACTCCTCGAAAGGAAGATGGGGCAATCTACTTCTGTAGTGATCCTGCCTCGGAAACCCAAGTAGGGGTTTCTATGAGTTGGGTCTGACTTGACGGCACATAACACCAACAACAACAACATCTATGTTGTATACTTGGTCACAGTCACTGATAGCATCTTAAAAATGACCTACCTGAACCTGAAGATCTAGCTATTCATTGTAAACCAATAGTGTTAGAAAAATACTACTCTATTTTTGTATATTTTCCTTTATCAACCAATAACCCTGATTAATTAAACTCTACCCTCAAGTATGAATATTAACTCCTCAAGTGTGGATATTAACGTATCATTTAATGGCTAATATTAGATATGGACATATGTCTCTATGACAACTCCATATGTATACTTTGGTTGCCACATGTATAAATCCAGTTTGGTTTTGTTTTTTATAAGATTAGGTAGGGACAAAAACTCGAAATTCTCGCTTGTAAATATTTTAACCTTGCCTGATCATTAATTAAAAGAAATTTGTTCCACGTCTGAAATATATTTATCTAAATTTTTAAAACAACAAAGCCTTGAAATGTAAGCCTACAGGCTATGATTGGATTTTATCCCTTTATTGCAAAGGTTTTTAATCTACCACATGTCAGTGGGGCCCTGAAAGTGTTGAATTGCTTACAGAACTTTGGATATGTACCTTCTTTTTCTAGAGAACATTCTTGTTAAAATTGCAAATGGACTGTGATCAAAAAAGGTATAAGAACTATGACTTTATTGAATGTCAGCTATACTGTGAATCATAAACTTAAGTTTGAAATAATAATTGTGAAATTGTTTAAAGCATCCTGAAACAATATTAAAAGAAAAATCTGATGAAAACTAGAAAATCACTATAGTTGTAGTACTGAACTTGAACTCACAGGGATTAAAGTAAGACAATAAAAAAGAGAGGAGCCTCTGGATGGTGCAGAAGGTTAATGCACTTGACTGGTAACTGAAAGATTGAGTCCACCCAGAGGTGCCTCAGAAAATATGCCTAGCTTAAGAATCTTTGAAAAATCAGCCGTCAGAAACTCTATGAAGCCCAGTTCTACTCCAACACACGTGAGTCAGAAGGGACCAGATGGGCAGTGGTCGTGGCAGAAGAGGCACCAAAGAGGTGTCCTAATGTTTTTGAAGTTTTCAAGCACTGTGTGGATACCTCTTTGTATCTTAGCTTCAGTTTTCCCATAAGGGTGAATTTTATCCCACAAAAGATATAGTTTATCATTTAAGACTTTTTCTCTTATGGGTAACTTTTAGTTTTGTTTTTTTTTTTTTTTTTTTAATTTTATTTTGATTTGGGTGAAAATTTACAGAGTAAATTCACTTTTCATACAGCAGTTCACATATACTTTGTCTCATGTCATTGACCAAAATTTACAAT